TGCTGAGTTCGCTGCATGATCTGATCATGGGTGTGTGTGTGCTATCATTAACTAGGATTGGGGTGCTTCTCCTTTTATGGGTTTCAGGTGAGGTTAGTCTGGTGAGACTGATGAGCTTGTGGGCCTGGTTTTTCTGATATGGGTTTGATATGCCCATGCATCCATGTACTTCTGATTTAATTTGCTAAGTTTGTGGGTGTTTCTCTTTTATGATCACAAATTTCATGCCTTATGATTGTTCTGGACAGTCTTTTTAAAAAAATTTCACTACAAAATAATTTATTACAATGCAGCTTTAACGCAAGACACACCTACATAGAAGCACACGGCTCTCCTGATTAGCCACTGGAGGACCATTTTCTTCACTCTGCCTTACGGACTTCTTCCAGAAAATCTTTCAGATATTGGATCTCCTTGGCTGCAGAATTTGCTTTTTCTTTAGAGCTTTATTCTTCTGACTCTTGAAACTTGCCAGTGAGGACCTTCTGTTCTGTCCTCTTCTTCTGGTGGTCCCTAGTGGTTGCTGCTTGTTTTGTTCCATTTTTTTTTTCCAGCTTTTTCTCCAGCTTCTTGCCCTGTACTTTGTTGCTACCATCTTTTCCCTAGGAGGGTTGTAAGGTTTGGGGTGGGCAGAATGAAGATTCCTATCAGGAGAGCCCTGGAAGGTAGAGGGGCTATGCTGGGAAGAGCCCAGGTTGGACTCGCAGCGAACACAGATGCGACCATCATGATCTGAGGGCATCTTCTTCCCTTATACACTGAGGGATCATGGTAGTGTAGGAATGCCAGGGATTTGGGGGGATATTTTGCAAGAAGGTGAATGGGGCAAACTGGTCAATTTCTGTTCAACTTTCTGGGAGACGGCCAATTGGGTTCATCGTCTGGAGGGGGGATCCTTATTAGTCTCCTGGACATAAAGATATCCCATGTGTTATCTAATGTGGCCAAAAGAACATTTGTCATGGTTTCTAGATCTCCTATTCTCAACAGGCCATCAAGGTCAAACTCTTTCAGATCCATTTCCTCCAACATCCAATCTGTCCCAAAGAAGGTGTCGTCCTTGCCCATGTCTGAGACATTGACCCAGGTACAGCCAACCATTCCAAAGAGCCCACCTTAGCCTTATTGCTGGAGAACCCATGAGGTTGAAAGTGCTTGGCCACCTCCAGGTAGTCATCTGAGAGACCTAGGCTTGCTTTTTTTTTTTTTTTTTTTCCTTTTTGGTAAGGATTGAACCCATGGCCTTGTGCATTTGAGGCATAGGCTGGCTTTTAATCTATTTATTTTATTTTTCTCTGTGTTTTTTTGTGTATATATATATATATATATATATAATATGTGTGTATATGTGTGTGTGTGTGTATATACATATA